TTTGTTGCCTACCCTTCAAAACATTTAAACAACACCAAAGAGAGGCTTGTACAAAGATGTTGTTTGTAATAGAGAAAAAATAAGACACCATAAATTTCCCACTTAACTTGGGACAAGTTCATTTGTTTGATTGTTCTTAATTACTGGTAATTTGCGTGCATCATTAATAGGAAGTATGACACAACTATTGGTCTTTCTTCATCTGGAACAAAAGCAAATGAAGGAAACCCAAGAATCAGAGAAGGAACTGGACTACAGGACTATCTACGTGAACTACTACCTTCTCCACCTTGAGATCAGAAGAACTAGATGGTGCCTGGCTATCACTACTGAACATTCTGATCAAGGACACAATAGGTAAATCCTGATAAAAAGGGAGAAAAATGTGCAACAGAACATCAAATTCTTAAGGAAGCCAGACATACTGGACCTGTTGAGGCTGAAGGAGTCCCCAAGACTACAGCCCTGATTTGCTCTTCTAACCTTGAACTGACACTACTGCCTGAAGTCACCTTTAAACTAATAGTTTAGCCCAAAGAGTAAAGATTGTCACCCGAGTATTGTTTCTTAAACAAAAATAAATAAATAATCTATATAACACCAAAAGGTCAACAGCTATTTTAAAAGCATAGATGAGAAGGTGGGGCGGGGTGGGGAGGGGGCAACGAGATTAAGTAAATGGAAGTGAAACAACTAGAAGAGATACAGACCCACTTCCCACTTATCGACATGGTTAGGTTCCAAAACCAGGTCGTTATGCAAAAAACAGTATTAGGCAAAAATGGAGGATGACCACATCAGATCACAAAATGGAAGATAACTATATTACATAACTGCCAAATCACTGAGAATCATGGCCCACATAACTTTGACCATCACAGCCAGCATTATCCTCATCTCGCTTCTTGGCGTTCATCACTGCCAGACGTACGTCATTAATGTGCAAAACAGTCAGATAGATTTTTTACTATTGTTGTAAATGCGAAATGTCACATAACAAGATAGTCGATAAGCGAGGGGTAGGTGTAACAAGAATGTTGACACAACGTGAAGAATGTAACCAATGTCACAGATCATTTTGTCTAGAGACTGGTATGGGAGTGGGTTTTGCTGTGTGTATTTTCAGCAAAAATACAAATAAAAGAAAAAAAGAGGAAGTATGGCAAACTCTTACGCATCTTTAAGCACTGAAAATTTTTCCAGTTCTTCCCAGCAACCCCCCACCCCTCCTGCCCCAAGACCCCAATTCCCGTTCACCTCTGCGTATCCCCTTTTCTGACTTCATTTTCCACCGTTCTCCATTTCCTGATACTCTTCCACTGTGCCACTGGAAACCTCCACCATCCATGAGCAAAATCCCCTCTATGCTAAACTGCTTCTCCATATGCTACCTGAAGCCTGGCTCTCCCTCAGAGCAGGGCCTCCTCCAAATAAAACCAAAAAACCAAACCCACTGCCGTCAAGTTGATTCCGACTCATAACCATCCTACAGGACAGAGTACAACTGCCCCGCAGGGTTTCCAAGGCTGTAATCTTTACGCAAGTAGACTGCCACATCTTTCTCCTGTGGAGCAGCTGGTGGGTTCCGCCAACCTTTCGGTAAGAAGCCGAGTGCTTAACCACTGTGCCACCAGGACTCCTATTCCTCCAAACAGTGTCTGTTTTCTCTCATACTGGGATTACAGGAAGTAAAGATTTCTTCCTTTTGCCTCTTTACTGCTTCCAGACCATTCGCCTCCCTCATCCCTCCAAAGTCTCAGCTTTGAATCTGACTACACAACACACTCCTCCTCCTTGTTGCAATTATATCCCCACCCTGAGCCCCTTGCCCTCAGTCCTTGAGGATTTGGGTGCCTGGCTCATTACCACTCTCTTCAACACTACCTGGTGCCATTGATTTCGATTCATGGTGACCCCGTGTATTACAGAACAGAACTGCACATAGGGCTGTGATCTTAAGGAAGTAGACTGCCAGGACTTTCTTCCATGGCACTGCTGGGTGGATTTGAACCACGAACCTTGCAGTTAGTAGCCCAGTGCAAACCATTTACACCACCCAGGGACCTTCTTCAACATTACTCCTGTCGTAATTTTGGGTAATTTCAGTATCTATGAAAATGATTCTTTCAATATTCTGACCTCTCAGATCCTTGACCCACCCCACCCCATGATTTTATTCTCTCAGCTCCCTTGGTCTCACTACACACGTTGACATCACCACTAGTGACAAGCCCCTCCTAATCCCAACTGCAAACGTCCCACTTCAACCACCACATCCTGCTTTTCCAGCTCACTCTCTAGTGTCCCAACTGGAACGATCTCAACCTTTCGCTCTCCCTCAAATCCCTGTCTTCACTCCCCTCCACAGCCAGCTTAAATTCCACGCTCTATCATTATATTCAAGGGGCCCTGGTGGCGCAGTGGGTTAAGTGCTCAGCTGCTAACCAAAAGGTCAGCAGTTCGAACCCACCACCTTCTCTGTGGAAGAAAAGACCTGGTGATTTTCTCCTGTTAACAATTCCTAACCAAAAGAACCAAACCCGTTGCCATCAAGTCGATTCCAACTCAAAGATTTACAGCCTAGGAAACCCTACGGGGCAGTTCTACTCTGTCATATAGGGTCACTATGAGTTGGAATTGACTTGATGGCACACAAGAAAAACAACATCATTATAGTCATTATATAATCCCTCTTTGCTTTGTTGTACTTGCCTAACTACACCATAACCCGGATTAAATCAAACCTAATATTACAGTTAACAACCTTAGCAGGTCACTAGTGCCTCCCAGAAACCATCCTATTTCTTTAGTCCATTTAGTCTCACTGTCCTAGATGACTGTACCTTCCATCTGTCCTCAAATCCAGCTGATGACTTACAATTCCACTGAGAAAACAGAAGCGAACAGAAGAGAACATCCACAAGCTCCCAGGCCTCACCTATCCATCCCCAAGGGCTCTGCCTTCTCTCCTCTTACTCGGAATGAACCACTTGTGCCCTAGACCGCGCCCCCTCTCAGCTCTCGTGAAGCCCAGCAATTCTCCGTCTCTTACCTGCATCACCAGCTTCCCCTTTTGTGTCTTTCCACCAATTTTCAAACATGCTATTTTCCGCCATCTTGGAAAAACTTCCTTGATGTCACATCCCCCCTCTAGCTTTTCAGCCAACTTTTCAAAATGTTATCTGTATTTTCTGTCTCTGCAATTACTCTTCCCCCATTCTGTTGTCTTCATTTTCAAAAATTCAACCTATAGAAAGAGTAACTCAATGAAGCCTCACTAGAGTTTATCAGTATTTACTTCTTAGGTCTCATCACTCAAAACACTCATGGTTTTGAGTACTTCTCAGATTGTGATCTACAGATCTTGGGGGTCCCTGAGACCATTTTAGGGGACTCACAAGATCAAAATTCTACTAAAATGTAACTTGCTTTCTTTACTGGTGACATTTGCACTGATGGTTTAAGGGAAATGGCGGGTAAAACTGCAGCTGCCTTAGCAAGAATCAACACCCCAGCACTAAATGTTCTGGTTGTCATTATATTATCCACTGCTACACAGTTAAAAAAAAAAAAAAAAAGCCAATTTAAGAATGTCCTTGAAGCAGTAAAAATAATTTATTAAATCTCAACCCCTAAGTATATATTCTACGTGTTGCAACTGTGGGCAGTGTGCCTAAAGCCTTTCGGTTGCATACTTGGTTCAATGGCTGTCTCCAGGAAGAGCACTTGTGTGATGGCGTTGCAGCTTAACCAGCTGCTTTTTTCATGAAACATCATTTTGATCTGAATGACTGACAAACTATGGTTCTTCAGACTTAGGTGTTTGGCTTTCTTTTTTAATTTTTAATTGTATTGTGCTTCAAGTGGAAGTTTACGGCGCAAATTAGCGTTTCATTCAAAGGTTTACACACAGATTGTTCTGTGATATTGGTTACAATCCCTGCCACGTGTCAGCACTGCCCCTTTCCACCCCAGGTTCCCCGGGTCCATTCATTCAGTTTTCCTGTCCTTTTCTGCCTTCTCGCCTTTGCTTTTGGGCAGGTATTGTCCACTTAGTCTCATATACTCGATTGAACTAAGAAGTATATTCCTCACGTGTGTTACTGTTTGTTTTATAGGCCTGTCTAACGTTTGCTGAAAGGTGGACTTCAGGAGTGGCTTCAGTTCTGGGTTAGCAGGGTGTCTGGGGGCCACAGTCTCAGGGGTTCCTCCAGCCGCTTGTCAGACCAGTAAGTCTCATCTTTTTTTGTGAATTTGAATATTGTTCTAAATTTTTCTCCCGCTCTGTCTGGGACCCTCTACTGTGATCCCTGTCAGAGCGGTCAGCGGTGGTAGCCGGGCACCATCTAGCTCTTCTGGGCTCAGGCTGGTAGAGGCTGTGGTTCACATGGCCCATCAGTCCAGGCAAGCAACTCACAGTATTTGTGACAAATGATAAAATTTGAGCTTTCAAACAAAAATCAGAATGTTACAAAACTTGTATCCACTACCATGAGCTTGATATCTTCTGACTTTTATGAGATCTTAGTTGTATTAATGTGAGTAGAAAATATGAAATAATGAAACGTATCAACATTTGGAAGATCTGCAGACTTCAGTTAAATAATATTTTCCAAATAGCTAACAGATGGTGTTATAAAATCATGCATGGATAAAAGATCTACTTGAAGTGGAAAGGCTGTACCCTGTCAAAGGCAGAAAACTTGAGAGACCTGGAAAAACAAGGCAGTCCGGTCGAGTTCCGGCTCTCACAGGTTTCACTGTATTAACAAATCAAAGCATCAGAAATTTTACAGAGAGAGAATTTTAAAAAAGGAAAATCTTACAAGCAAAATGCAATACAAAAATTCCATCTCCCTTCCCATCTCATCCATTGCAACCACCACCCTTCCCCCAAAAGGAACTACACCCCAGGAGCTAACTGAATGTAAGAGTCTTTTATTCAACTTGTAAAGGACAGTTTTAAAACAAAATGTTAGTAACACTCTTCGAACATTTGGTTTATCCCTTTGACATTTTATCTATCTTTACCAGTTTTTATTACAAAAATCAGAAAAGTAAAAATCTATTACAATATTTGCACAGTGTAACCACTAAGTTGTCTAAACAAAATTAACATCTATAAAACCATAAACTTAATGCAGTTTTATTGAGCGAGATTAAAAATTCTCTCACTTAACTGGATATACATAGCAGTATATATTTTAAAGCAGAAAACCCCCAAAAAGTAAAACTAAGGAAGAAAGAAAATAGAAGTCAAAATAGTTAAATATTTTCACCTGACAGTTCCTGCAAATAGTGATTTCTACTACATGTCAAGGAAACTGTTATCTGTGGTAAAAACTCCAGAGACCAAGTAGGAAATGCAGAATAAAAATACAATAAATCAAAAGTTCCAGGCTGGCCTGTTTTCAGTGAAACACAAGGCAGTGATCTACTTCACATCATTTGGGGAGACCATTTATACCCCAATCCACGGTGTGTGTTTACAACTAAAATCTTCACCACATGGCAAGTTACAAAGGTAGCATCTAATGACATTGAGAAAGACAACTTCTTCTCTTCATACAAATCACTGCAAGAAATCCGCTGTAAGGCTGTAGCCTGCGTAGGGAAACAGCTGCGCTCTGTCAAGAACCCAACAGGAAATAGTAAAGGCAAGCTCTGCGAACCGATGTACATGTGAATAAATTTACCAGGCACCTCATTTACTGCCTCCTAGTTTACCTTGAACAGGTATAATTTAATCCGACAAAAGGAAATATAACAATTTCTGGTGACGGTATTAAAAGGAAATATTGAGTTTGGTGACAGAAAAACTAAATTCCAAGAGTGCATCTTATAAAAGGGCTGATGTCCCACTGTGTATGCACCTCTGTACTAGGTAAGCCCTACTGATGTCCCACTGTATATACACCTCCATACTCGGTAAGCCCTACTCCTGCACTAACTAGGACTAAGTAGGAAACTGTTCAATAAAAGGTTCCTTTGTCAGTAAAGTACATTAAAAGAAAAAGTACAAGTTGTGGCATTCCTTCACGTTAATGCTACATTAACATTTTGAGTTGGTTGACAGGCAGGATTAATGCATTTCAGATCAAAGACGGGCCAGAAATTTCTAAGAGCCATGATAAAGGTGCATTGTACCCAAGATGGCGCTGTCATATCTCTCCTCCACTCTAACAGAATTGGAATGCTCTATGACACTGTTAAGCTCAGGGATGCTTTCCGCAGTGTCCCCAAATCCGTGGTAATGTCCGTAATGCAGATTCTCCTCAATATCGTCCGCCCAGGAGGGCCGACTAGCTATGCAGCTGCTTGGACTACCGTTGAGATGCAGAGAACCGCAGAGATCAGAGTTACCGCTCACAGTCCTCTCTGGCTCCTCGGGGCTATTAACGCCCCCACACGGCGGTCCAGGAACCAGTCCATCGCTAATGCCATTAGATCCTGTTAAGCACTGGTCATTTCTGTCTTCCATCCCACTGAGCTGTGTCGTGGAGGGGAAGTCCAAATGTCCATTGATGATACATCCATTTGTCAACGTATTCGATACGGAGCTACTGTTTTTCATATCTGCATTAAGAAATACACCTGTCACCAAAATTCAGAACCAATGGGAGAGAAGAAACTATAAAATGCTTCACTGCTGCTACAATTCTAAAGGATTTCTTTTCTTCTTTTTTTTTTTTTTAAAAACAAACCAGTTCCTTTTCCAAAGTAAAAACAGTGCATATATAGGTAGCTTTCAAAATAAAACAAAACAGTAGTATTGGCCTGGTGAGATACGAAAATTTTATGAATTTCGGTAGCATTGGATAACCAAATTTTAACGTAAGTTGACAAATATAATGCATGGATGAACAATACCAACAGTACTGGAAAGGCATCAAAAACCTGTTCTCATTTTAAGACTACTTTCTGAGAGCAATTTTTAAAGTCACACCTGAAAAAGTCCATCAGAACTGAATGCAAGGGTTTTTTCTTCCTCACAAAGGGTTAAAATAAAATATAAAACCTCTCCAGCTCTTAGGGGAAAAAAAAAGGTAAATAACGCAGGTGAATTAAGGAAGTTCTTCAAGCTAATGTAAGGCAGCTCCATATAACGCTTTTTAAAAGCTTTCCTCACAAATTAGAAAGGCATGAATAGGAATATTAAAAGGAACCATTTTTTTTCTTGCTAACACTCAGATCTACATAGTACTTGTGCGAAATGTCACATAACAGCGTTGGCAGAGTACAGGGGAAACCAGCAACTGCAGAGAGGCACTCGGAATGCCAGTCGGTCTCATGCACACCATCTTGTCCCAACAGCACGGTTGTGAATAGTTTCTTATGAATTCAGCTATTAAAATGACTATGATATCCAAGATTTCACTTTATTAGGTTACTCTGAAAAACCACTTATGTTGGGAAAAATGTTGACAGTGTAATATGCATATATAGACATCCAGTAGGATCAAGATGTCTTAAGGAAAAAAGTCAATTACAAAATGCACAAGCATGCTGGGATTGGCAATTACAAGTTATTCTTCTGTATACTGGAACTCAAGAATTAATAACATCCATGTTCACAGGAGTTTGTGGAACAGTGTAGAGAACGGTCAAAAGATCACCCCAATGCTCTGCTCTATTAATGCGAGGCATGACACTAGATACAAAAGAGCTCAATTCTAGTAACCTGGAAGAAAGCCACATTCTATACACATCCGGCTACCCTAGTACGTCACACACATCTAATTTTCAGTTTCACCTCCTGCAATTCCTCTGATTTGCACGCGGATAATAGATTTCTGTGTCCTGTCCGTCTGCTTTCTGGCAACAAAACAATCATGGCTGTTCAAGAACAAAACATCTTTTAAATATTTCACTATTTTGGCAATATAAGCAATAATTACATTTTAATAACTGCTATAAATTCTTCAGAGGATAATGGATTCTTTTTTCAAATAAAATGATAGCTTTCATATTTAGTTAAAACTAAGGACTAGAGAAGAGGTGCTTCAAAGATTAAATATGAAATAAAAACAAAGGAAATAAATTATTTTGGGGAATATTTATATAGTAATCTTTAGCGATGTGATAAATTTTGTTTACTCAGTCAGACAGTATTTTAAGTCAAAATGATGAAAAAGAAAGGCATTGCTTATTTGGCACGTGTTATATGGGATGAATGTGGCATGAAATACAACGTGACTTTTTCAATATTTATGTTCAACCAGGGTCTTTAATTGAACCTGAAATCCCTGGGAATTAATATTTAGAGACTAAAGGATGATTGCCTCTCACTTTTCAAAGCATGTAACAATGCTTTTTTTTTTTTTTAAAGCTGGCTTTATGAGTTTTGTTGTTTGTTTTTGTTGTTTTGTGCCGTTGAGTTGATTTTCAACTCATAGCGACCTCAGTGTGACAGAGGACTGCCCCATAGGGTTACCTGCCTGTAATCTTTATGGAAGCAGACCACCAGATCTTTCTCCCATGAAGCAGCTACGTGGATTCAAACCGCCAACCTTTAGGTTAGCAGGCGAGTGCTTAATCATTGCACCACTGGGTTCTTTTATTTATCTTTAGATAAGGTCATATAGACCCTGACTACGGAAAATCTATTGTTTTAAATGTACTAGCCAAACAGAATTCCCCTTGGAAAATCTACCCATTTCATTTAATTATTTACGGCAAGGTAACTGTACACATAACGACCCTATAGTTTCTAAAAAGATGTACACTTTCATTTTAGTGAACAGAAATGATATTTGCATATACATTTGGGAAGCAACATGCATAATCTTTTATCCCCAGTGAAGAACTTAGCATAAAAAAATATAATAATGCAACTTAATAACAAATGATCTATTTCTTAATACAGCATCATATATAATCTTAATCTATATATTTTCAAAATATATTAACACATGAAGAGAATTGGCTAAAATGTTTTCTTGGTCATCTAAATAAAACAGATAGTAGAAAAAAGTATTAACCAAATGGATACTTTTTAGATACTCTAAAAGCTAGAAGGAACTGAGCCTTTTGCCTTTTAAAAATTGAAAATGACTGTCAACTGTTTTCATATACTAAAAATTTTACATACTAAAATGTGTGCTTTGTGAAACACGGCGTAGAGCATTTTAACAGACTTATTCTGAGCACCACAGAAACCACAGCACCCAAGACTTTTCGGTAAAGACTCTACCGGCGTATTTGGGTTACAAATCAAAACCACTTTTCCGAGTTCTTAACGTTTGCAGCTGCTTGGCCTTGCTATCTGTTGTTCTGAAAATGCAAGTAACAGCATGTTTGGTACATTCACCCGAAGGTCATACATCAGAAAATTAAAAAAATGTAGAAACCTCATAAGAAATAAGCAAGGCACATTAAGCAAAAGCCTCAAACCAAAATAGGAAGATTGCACTTAGATTTTTCTTATTCATAGAATGCACCCAAACCACTTATCCTTGAATCTACAAACTCGTCCAAGATAGGCAAATGATAGTATAACAATCTTTAAAGACACTGGACAACAAAGTGCAAAGAAAAGCTTTCGAGAAACTTATGTTAGAAATAATAGGCATACTGGTTCTTGCAACGACAAGGGGTTTGCATTGCCGAAACAGTATATATTTCTATTTCTTTTGGTCCAAGAGAACAACTCTCCCGTTGTTTGTCTTCGACCATCTGATTGTTGTTGCAGTTACCAGGAAATTGTCCACTCCCACCTGTTACAGCAGCGAACTCTCTATCAACGTGCATTTTGTCCGCATCGTCTTCGGCCTCGCCGTTCACTAGAGGCATGCAGAGACCCGAGCTATGAGCTGCGCAGAAACAAAGGCTGTTTTAGATTCCCTTGTACGTACAAAAAGACTTTAAGACAAACGCTTTTCTTCTCCTGCTGTCAAATCACTGAGTACTTTAAAACAGTCAAATAATCTAAAAATCTACAGATACCAATGAACTTGGTACACTACTGAGAAACTTCTCGACAATAAAAATATTTCTTGAAGTTTGCAAAGTTTCGACGAAGTCATGGAATTTCAGATACCTATTCTGATTTACTTGATTAAAAAAATCTCTTTTTAAGACTGTTATTTCAGGAATACAAAGCACTATTACATAGCCGACAGACATATCCTACAGCCTAAGCACTTTTCTCAAATGTAGCATACTTTACACTGTGTCCAGAAACGTTCCTTCAGATGCTTCACAGAAGTACACCAAGACAACTCTTCACATTAGAGACAATCTTCATATTTTGAAAAAATTAACAAATTTTATCCACAAAAAAATACAGTAAAGGCCAAGATTCAAGACAGGTTTGTCAATATTATCTGACAGTGGCATTTGACTTATGTGAACACCAAAATACAATAAAACTGAAAATATTAAAAAGTCTTAGTTCAAGAAACTTGAAGCTGAAGCTGGATATACACATTTCTGACCATCGTTCTTCGTATTCTGGAAGGAAGCGAATGTGTGTATCTAAGCACTTTTCCTCCAAGTAATAATACTCCACGCAAAAACAAAAACCACTTTTGCCCCAAACCACCAGACATCATCACTCAAGGGTAAACCACTCTCATCTGATGTCTGCTCTTCTAGTCTTAATAAGCATATATTTAAACAAACATTGATCACAAAATTATTGTACCTTCTTTTATTAACATGGCATGAATGCATTCCCACATCAATTAATTTCAGAAACATCTTTACAGTTGAATAATAATCTACTTATAGCTGTAATTTACTGAACCCCCCCTTGCTGTCTGGGTCACTTCTTTTCGTATCATGAACTCTGTAACTAACACTTATAAATGCACCTTTGTGTGCATTTCTGATTCTTTACTCACATAAATACCCAGAATTATTTCTGGGTCAAAGACATGCACAAGGAAAAAAGTGACCAGCTTCAGTGCCAAATATTCCCTTCAAATAAACATTTTCAAACTCGGGAGAACTGACCTTTGCAGCTTTAATTAGTTCTAATCTTAGTGGCGCATGAATGACTTTCATTACAGAAATGAGAATAATAGCAGTTCCAGATTATTCCCCAAACTGTGCAGACACCAAGGTGCTAATAATGCAGTGTTGTTATTGAACGAGAAACCCCATTTCTGAGCGATCAGGAGAAGTAGAAACAGGAGTGTGACTTGTGACGTTGGGGAAAAAACAGAAGTCTGCACAGGTGTGAGGTCGAGCGTTCTCCAAATATAAAAAACCTGTTGCCATCCAGTCGATTCCGGCTCAGACATTATAGGACAGAGTAGAACTGCCCCATAGGGTTTACCAAGGGGCACCTGGCGGATTTGAACTGCCCCATAGGGTTTCCAAGGGGCACCTGGCGATTTGAACTGCCAACCTCTTGGTTAGCAGATATAGCTCTTAACGACTGCGCCAACAGGGTTTCCTCTCCAAATACAGTTCCTTTAAAACCGGAGGCATGAAAACGTGGATCTGAGTCTTTCATGCTCATTAACTTTTCTTAATGCTCCACAGCCCTGGAGAACAAAACAGTCCACGGGCCCAAAACCAGTGATGGAAAAGCTCTACAGATCTTCACTAGGAAACAGGATCGGCATTGAAGAAATCAGTGATAAACAAGGCATCTTAAAAAAAGGTGGGGTGGGGGGAGGTGGAGTAGGGCTGGCGGAAGGCCAGGCTGATTCCCTTCAGTGTTTCAGGGACGATGACTAAATTCCCCCAACCTTTAGGGTTTGTAGGGAAAACAGGCAGATCGAGTAATTTGCAGCCAGTAATGGGGTCAGGTTTTAAACCCTCAGACTCTGAAACTACATTCTACAAAGCCTGCTGAGCCAAACAAGGCAATGATTTTTCCTTGCACTGAGAATTGTTGCAGACTGTTACACCAAATCCACAAATGTAATTGGTAAAAAAAAAAACAAAAAACTTCGCTGGAAATACAATCTCCATAGCTTTACGTTATCTGTATACGAGGTATGTCTGATTTTGTCTTGAAATTCAGATGGCAATTTTCCTTGGGAAATCTGGCAACTACAGGTATATTTGGAGCCCTGGTGGCACAGTGGTTAAGAGGTCGGCTGCTAATCAAAAGGCTGGCAGTTCGAATCCACCAGTTGCTCCTTGGAAAAACCCTATGGGGCAGTTCTACTCTGTCCTATAGGGTCGCTAAGAGTTGGAATATACTCAACAGCAATGGGTCTTGGTCTGGTATGGATTTATTTGACAACTTCTGAAAAGCAGGCAGAAAAACGGACAGGTAAGATGTGAAGGAAATTAAAAACAAAAACTTCCCCAAAGCTAGGCTGTTTATCTTTCCATCATTCTCAAAGCCCAGCGCCCCCTAAGTACCTGTTATGAAGGAAGTGCACTCACCAGCGGGGTGGGGTGGGGTGGGGCGGGGGACGGGACCCACAGCAAACAAAAATCATTAAAAATAAAGCATCCAACAATAAAATCAGAAGAATCACAATCCTGTAATCTCGGTAAGACTGGCTACAAAATGGAGTGTAAAATGGGGGCATATCTGCCACTAGGGGGGCAAAAAGAGCCGGGGCAAAAAGGGACCTTTGGGCCAAGTAAAGCAAACATTAATCTAACCGTAACTAGTACTACTCAGTGCACTAGGATTCTGTGACTTCCCTGAAACCGCTCGTTAGTAGATGCGCCTTTGTTAAGTCTGGTAACAAAACTTCTCATTAACAATGCAGGATAAAATTGAAACAGACCAAAAGTTTCACATTCTAGCAGTCAAAAAACTCTTTAATGTGGGAAGTACGTTGATGTAAACATAGAACTTCGTTACCTGTCTCCATAGATACACCAATCTTTGTAACCCACTATCCCCATAAACCGCAGATATTCTAGCGTCCCAGAATCGTGAGTCATACTATTTTATACCAATGACTCCTCCAGGGTAGGATCTTAATTTTCTTTTATTGCTGGCACCCATAAGTTGGAAGTGTGCAATTAGATGGTAGCACTAAGGTTGCAATCATTTACTTTTGAAAATTGTATTTTATGAACCAAATTAAAACTGCCTCTCAATGTGAAGAACACTTAGGATGAACCGTGCCCCCTCCCACAACAAAAATCACATTACCTTGCGGCAGTCTCCTCTATCCGTGTCCACACACACCTATCTATTGCCACTGCCGAAGGAGTTCTTTAAAGCCACCACGTCGCTCCTAAGGTGTTGCACATAGCCATTTCAGAAAAGCAGTGTCTTTTAAGTTACCAAATTTGATTCTATTTACATTTTAGAAAAGAATGTTCTTGTCTTCTATGGACTTCCATAGTTAAATGGAAACATTAAACATTTCCAGGTTACTTAATATGTCAATTTCATAGTGTTCTTGCCTTTCAGTTTCATTGCTAAAACAGGCATTGATTGATTAGATTTTAATACACATTATATACTGTTTATTATGAAGAACTACCTAGTTAGCTTAAAATAAAACCTCCAGAGATGGAGTCACAGCCAGGCGCGACCACTGCCTACCATCAGCCATGAGAAAAGCAAGAGGCCCCGCCTCTGGCCAGGAAACCCATCCCATTCTTGACCTCAGGGAGGAGGCTCTGGGGGGTGGGCTGGGGCCAGCAGGTCTGCCCTCTTCGGAGCTGGGACAGCCGAGCAGGGCTGCGTCTGTAATCTCAAAGACCCCTGAAATCTTTCAACAAGATTCTTAAACTACATGAAAAAACTATTTGTGACCAAGCAGTCCGAAACTGTGGAAAAGGTTTTACCTAAGTTTTTAAAAGCCAGAGACTGGATCACTGCAGAAGGGAATTAAATGGGCCCTAAAGCCACACACATGAGAGAAACTTACCGGAAGGGCTGCCTATCCCCTGGGGTTATGAGAGTTTAAAAGGCAGAGGAATCTGTTCACAAGGAGGCAAAACAAGTCATCAATACTGTCACGTTTTAAGATCTAAGTGCTCTAGTAAGACAAGGGAGTCTTTCTACAAGACATGCCCCATACTAGTTACCTCCCCAAGACCTAAGCAGGAGGCATTTTACATGTGCAAAAACTTCTAAGTAGCTTCACAGTACAATTAACTCAAGTCTGCGGTCTCGATGTAGATCAGTTACCCTCTTTAAGGTACCAGTGTGAAAGGGTTCCTACGTGCTGACCCCTAATCCCTTGACTAGCAGGGATCTCTAAACAAAAAATCCAAACCACAGTTGCTGTGGAGTTGATTCTGGCTCACGGCGACCACGTGTGTCAGAGTAGAACTGTGCTCTGCATGGTTTTCGAGGGCTGTGATCTTTTGGAAGTAATCGCCAGGCTTCTAGGACACCTCACACCCATGGTGGCATTTCCAGTGAACTATGTGTAGGCTGTTATTGAAATCTCTAACTATTGGAGCGCGTCTACTTCCCCCATTAAAGGAGCAACTAGTTTAGTTTGTGGCTTCCCACCAGTCACTATCATTAACTAGTTATTCTTTAGTATTTTTTCTTCAAAAAGTTCTGTTAAAACTAAAATAGTACCTAAGGCCCAAGTAAGGTTTCTTCTACTACAAGGTGCCTCTCCCTGGGACTCTGACTCCTGTCCAGGTGTGAGTAACAGCGAGAGAGGGTGCATGCCATTCCGGGAGGCGGGGCAGTGCTGCTAACAGCGCAGAGGGGAGCATGCAAAGCACACAGAGGCCGTGAGTTTGTAAAAACCACTGAGGGTGTCTGGGTTTTGTTAGAAGAGCAAATTCCACGTGAAACAAATGTATTCTGCATAAAACATGCCCAACACTAGAGTCTTTTAATTACCCATCACAGTCTAGAACTGTGCTGTGAACAAATGAGGTGCATGAGTTTGCTGAATTCAAACTATATCATTAA